TTTTTTTTTTTTTTTTTTTTGCAGCTTAGGCCTTGCCCCAGCGGAAGTTGTAGGAAAGTATAGGAAGGAAAATGAACACAGCTCAACAAAGAATATATTCAGCTAAAGGAGACATTGACCAACATGTTATTTCTAAGGTCCAGTTTATTTTAAAATCCACTTTGAAAGTTATCTATAAGAGAACAGGGATGCTTTCTAAACAGTGACTGAAAGAACTTTTTTTAAACTAACACTTTGCTAATTCCAATTTACAGTAGCCTGTCAGGGTTTAGTCTGTATGTTTCACATGTGTGACCATTCACTTACTTATTCATTCATGTGCCCCATATAGGATACCTACCTCACCCAGCTTGATATGTTGGTTTCTTTGGGATTCATTGGGGCACATTTTTTTTGTTTTTGGCCTCCATAGGTTTTCGTCACAGAGGAAACAACAACTGAAATGTTCAAATCATGGTGACTTTTCTGCTTTGTGATGCCTGGAGTGTCCAGCACTACTTCATAGGATTTTGCTATCATTGATTCGTGAAGAATCTATAGAATATGTCACATTTACTAGGATAGCATGTAATTTGGAAATTTAAAATGACTCTTTGCCCTGAAGTAACTGGGAAAGAGAAACAGAAGCCTGCTAATCACAGCTGGCCGTATATCTCTTTGAAGGCACAGCACTTGATGGTTTCTTGACATATGTCAACGAAGGCATTGGTCATGGGCTGTTGGTTAAAGTACATGAGGAAGCATTTGTCTAAGTCTCACAAGAGACACTGAGGGAGCTGGGATCATAGAGGAAAACAGAGGCTACCTCAGAGTTTTAACTCATCCTGTGATTCTACTGTCTGTGAGTGTGCAATGGTGCAAAGCTTTTTTTTTTTTTGGTCACAGCTGGCTACTTCAGAAACAAGGCAAACGTTTGCCAGGAAACTGCAATCTAACAGGTTCTTTTAAATTCAATAATTTTCTGTAATATTTGTGAGAAATATGCATATATACATATTTCCCAACTATCATTTGATATTAAGATTTGGGTGAATGGTGAATATTTTCTAGTTTCACCATCGGAAGTAGATACTGGCCATAGATTTTGGAAACACAATTTGTTTAGTTAAAGTATACCACTTAATATACTCTTAGCTTCTCTTATATAATAATTATCCCAAGTTTTGAAGACAGAGAAAAGAAAGAATCAAGCTGATTGCACGTAAACTCTTATTATGAGGAAATACTAGGGAAAAAAGATTAAGAAAGATGGGACAAAGACATGATGAAATCCAACTACTGAATAGAAACTGAGGCTTTGCTTTAATTTATACTCATTAAGGTTAGTTTCAATATAATGCTTCTGCTGATTTATCTGGGGCCATTGAAGGATAGACAATGAAATAGCTGTCAATTTAGTGGGGGAAGAGTTTAAGGCTATGACTTTAGAAAGCCAAATCTTCATGTAAAATATGAAAATTCCAATCACATATTTTGGTTAAACTGAATCCTCAATTTTACTGATTTTTAGAAATCTGAATTCACTGTCAATTTTGATGCCGTGTAGAGTCAACTTTTATATCATCCCCCAAGTCTAGGTAAACCAGAATCTGTATCTACTATATAAAAAAACTCAAGTGGAAAAACTCTGTTACTAATTTAATCAATGAAGACAGATAAACTGGATATTAAAGACTCAGATTTGATAACGACACAGGACATCTGTTGCTGTTTGAACACAAATAGAGAAACTTCAGTTTTCAATTATTTTTCCTTGAGGGTTTTCAGATGGGCTGTTGAAGGCTTTCGAATACATGGAATTAGCTGTGTCTTATTTATTAGGGATAGAGAGAAAAGAGAGAAGTCTGTGTTGTTATATCAGCCGTCTTTAACAGCGTCCTATTGTTTTTAAAAATTCACTCATGTGGAGCAGACTAAAAGATCTAGGTATGTGCGTTCTTACTGAAATACACTTTGTAATGCATGCCTATGCTTGTAAGTAAGTGGGTTAAACAGTGTGTGTATAATCTGAGAGACACCAAATGTTTGCCTCCCTCAACCTAGATGTCAACCCCCAAATTCCCCCAAGAGAATTCCTTCTGTGAGCACTGCCATTTTCCTTTGATCCTCTTAAATGCGAATACCCTAGGAAAGATAACACATTGTTGCTAGCACTTTAATGTGAATTAATCTATACTGATCCCCTCCCCTTGTCTCACTCCCCAAGCAGGAGAGGGCCAAAATAGCAGGAGAGTGCTAAAGCATGTTTCCATAGACATCTGCATGGGGGTGTCCTGAAAAGGGCAAGAGAGGTAGTGAGAGTCAAAGAAAACAATCTAATTTATAGAACATTTATTGATTATCTATGATCTGTGAGACACACTTTGCCTTACAAATTGTAAATTCCTATCAAATTTATTATTACTGACTCCCCCAAAGAGTCAGAAAATTACTGAAATTGAAAAAGAGTCCATTTTAGAGAAATGTTTCTTGGGATTTATGTAAGTGTGAGTTAATGCACATAGAGTTATTGTATAGAATATTGTATAGAAAATCTTTAGCGAAGTACTGAGATTTGACATACTAAAATCATAGTAATCTCTTGGGGAGGGCAGGAAGTTGAATTGTGGGGCTTATAGACTCTGCTCTAATATCGTAGAAAAGAAAAGACATTGTGAAATTACTTTTGACATTACTTTGGAAATTCTGATATTACCAACACTCACATATTATGCCATAATCATATTAAGACTTAGAAGATCATACCAAAGTTAGCTATGTGAAAAAAATTATTTTATCTGATCTCATCTTCCCCCCATAGTCCTCATAATTTTAAATAGAATGGTATATGTAAAAGTATTTTTTAAGCTTTCAGTTAGATAGAATTTTATTAAAATGATAAAATCCTTTCATTCTCAGGCAGCCTATCATTCTTATACTGGAACTTACAAGAAAAGGAGCCATGCAGTATTTAATAAAATAATAGCACTTTCACATATATTATTTCATCCTCCTCATATATAAAATTTATTGCCATGCAAATTTTACATAACATATATACATGCAGAATGTAGTGTTAGGAAACAAGTTAAAAGAGTGAAAATGGGTCTTTCTTAAAAATAGAATATGTTAGTTGTTAGAAACCAGTAGTTTACACAGCAAAGCGGTGTTTCCACTAAACACATATGTATGGAGCCCTTTCGTTTTGACCTCTTAAATGTTAGCGTGCAAACACTTAATGAGAATCTTATCTTTTATGCTGCCGTGCGTCTTTTTCACTAATGCACAGACATTTGCGTTCATGAAAGCAGGTGATTTCCCGGAGAATGGCATGAAGCCCCCCTGCCTGCAGAGCCACGGGCCAGCTCCCCCCGGCAGGCCGCAGCCTCGGCGGCTGTCACTCACGCCCGGGCAGCTTCTCATGGGCTCCCGTCTCGCGTTTTAACCCCCTTCCACAGGACCCACAGTTCATTCCCCATCCCTCAGGCGTCTGGAGTCATGGATGCTGTTGTCAAGGTCATTCTGTAATTTTGATAGAAATATACCTTTGTATCAGATATCTATTCATGCTTTAAAAATGTTATTAAGCCTGCTCCATCCTGTAGTGTTTTTAACTTTATGAAACATTAGGTGTGCTTCGTTACTATCGATGGAATGATAATGCTTCTAAATCTTTGGATGTGCAACAGAGTCATAATTTATATAGCAAAATAGCATTTTGAAAACATTTTGCAAAAAAAAAAAAAAAAGGAATTTTAGACAGCTTCTTTCTAAAAGCAAAAGAAGTTCCTTTCTAACAATTTTTAGGGTTTTTTCCCTTTTAAAGAAGCATCTACTGGTAAATTGGTAGCTGCGGTTTTCTCAAGATGTGTTTTATTAATTCTGGGTTAAGAACATTTGTAACAAAAGTAATGGTTCTGCTGCCCCCGCGGCCCACCGTGGGCGCCCTGAGCAGGTGTGTTCGGGAGCCAAGCCGGGGAAGCCGCCGCAGAGCTTGCTGCGGCTCTGGGCGTCGGCTCGCCTGGCGCAGCGTCGGCGCTCAGGGAGGGTACTCATGTGCGTTTGCACACACATGTGTGTATGCACAATGTACTACTCTTTCGTAAACTGAATAATTTTTATACGTATTTCAAATACTCCAGGGAGAGATTGCTATTTCAAGAAAATCAGGTGAATTTTTCTATTCAGCAGAGCTTATTGAGATCTAAATTCGCATATATGCTCAAAATGTTATCGATTGAAATGCTGAGATTCTTCCCCTTGTCCCTCCCATCTTTTTGTTTCCTTTCTTTCTTCGTAGGACACTGGTGAACTATATTATTTTGTCTTTTTTTTTTTTTTTTTTTCAGTTTGACATAGGCAGTTAACAAAAAGCACTATGCTTTTCTCATGTTCATATAACAGGTGAATCTGTGATAAACAGGCAGGAATTCCAATTACAGACAGACTGAGTCTCATTTTCTAAAATGCTCTGTGAACTGTGGTGTGTGATTCCCTTGACCTAGTGGATGCGGTCTTTCAAATTATTGTAAGAGACAGAGGGACTCTGACTTGATAATGCTAACTATGAAATAGCAAATATACGCATTGGCATAATAAAATACCTCATTAAATATTTTTTCCAGAAAAGCCGTTCGAAATGCGAGATGTCTCAAACCATTACCCATTAAACACTTCATTGAGCCAATAATCCCAAGTGATTTATAACGCTTTTAGCATCTTGTTATGCGTAATCTTTAAATAAACTACTCACTAAATGATTGAGTAGGGTATATATTGATTTGTACTTTTATAATTATAGTAGTTTGAGAGGAGGGATTTCTTTTATGTAAATACGTATTGTCTTTAAGGCTTTCAACAGTTTATGTTCGTCTTCGGTACATACTTTATGTGCTTTAATATTAAACGGTGCATTATCTCTGATAGAAAAGAAATGCCTGAGAATCATTTTGAAAAATATTTTTCACAGTCCTTCAGTTCCTTTAGAGCTTGAAAAGATTCTGTTGTCAAACATTATTTACTAAAAGGGACTTAGCATTTGTAAGAAAAAAAGAATTACTAATGGAGTAGAACTATATTTTTGAATCTTGAAATCTATCATTTTAAATGAATACTTGATTGCTGGACTCTTTTTTACATACTGAGTAGCACAAAAATGTTAAATACTTTAAAAAATCACATTAATAAAGAATGGGAAGACTTTATGTAGAAATTTAAATCTTCACAATGGTATATGGAGGAGTCTGTGTTTTATTTTGGGATTTCTGTCATCCTAGGTGTTTTGGAAATATTTGCTGTGTCTCAGGGGATTGTAGGAATACGAGGAGTTTTCAGCAACAAATTTTTAGCGATGTCAAAAAAAGGAAAACTCCATGCAAGTGTAAGTAGAACCACTTTATATTTGTTAAAGGTGTTGTGGAGATTTTATATTTGTAAAATGGAATGAGGTGACTTTCTAAATTAGTAAGTAGGTAGAACAATTTGCCCATCTAACTTAATGTATTTTGTTTTTGTAAAATTATATGTACATTTAACCAAAAGTATTTTATGTGTTTTTGTAACTAACTATGTAAATATTTTATTTACTTGAAAAGATAGAGTCCACAAAAAGGTTTAAGGGTAATTGCACTTGAAAATAACATTCTCCAAGTGCTTGGCATTATTTATTTCTTAAATGTGGTCCAAGTGAAAAGAAATATTATGGAAAAATATATTATGTAATATTTTAAATTTATGATGGTTGTGTGTGTTTAGTTGATCAGGTTCTTATTTAATTTTACAAGTTATTCATGACATCAAGAATTGGGACTCAGCAATATAACATATTTTCATTTTAATAAGTGTAGAGGGAAGAAACCAATAATGAGAACACTTGGACTGTATAGAGAGAAATTTTATTTGATCCATTTGTGAAATACGCATCTTATATTTTTGTTGCATCAAAAACGATTCTTAAAATGATGAAGACTTAATTTTGTACTTGTAAATATTTCTTCAGACCACTTATACATTTTGTAAGCAGTTTATAAATTATAGATTTCTATGCTTTGTTCTGAAAATGTTGATTACTTGAGAAGCATGAACACATTTTAAAGGTAGTAAAATGTGTTTAGCTTAGTTTTGCTCCTCACAGATTCTGCTAATTTTATTAGTACACATGCACAGCACTTGATCTATGCCTTTTCTATAATGTGCTAAGTTTTGTCACGTTAAATCATTTGAAAAATCAATTCTTTAATGATAGTCCTTTAATTCTTATTCCCTTTGATTCTTATTATGTGAATTAGAGAAACATCACTTTTCCAGTTTTCAAAATATATAGGAAGTTTTAATTGAGTGCAATAAATTGAAACTTATTATTTGTGATTTCTGCTTTTCAAGCCTTTAAAAAATTCAATGAGAGTCCATTTGGTTCAATGCGTAAGACTTTCAATTTTCCTTTCCCTGGCATCTAAAGGTGGTTTGTTAAATACCTCTTGGAGGAGGCAGTGGAATTCAGCTATTTCTACAGTTATTTGAGGGTTAAATGAGATAGTACATATGAAACTTTTTGATCAGTATTTGGTACATTGTAAGTGCTCAACAAATATTACTTATTAGCATACGATGATCTAAATATAATAAACTACTGAAACTCGGTTTATTAAGATAGATGGAAAACCTTTAACTTCTTTAATTACCCACCTCCAGAATTATAACAATATTTACTTATTTTTAATTTTCAGAGCTGGTTATTATATTCTAGCAAGCTATAATGTAGTAGTCATAATATAATTTCTCTTTGATTTTCTTCATTATGTTAAGGGGCAAATTTTTGCATTGCTTTGGAAAAGTAAGACGTGCCACTTTATTTTTAAACATTTGATTTTGAAAAGTCCACATACAGAATAGAAAACAGTGACCAAACATCTGCACAGAATAACTTTTCCTCAGGCAACTTCAAGGTTGTAAAAAATGGAAACACCTTCAAAAATATAAGCATCAAAATCATATGCTGTGCATGTAAAAAACTTTCTCTTACTGGTTTGTTTTGGGTGAAAATCTTGAACTTTAAATTTTCTAATTCATGCCCTAGTACATGAAAAAAAAAATAGACTAAACTTAGGCCAGCTTAAGGATAATTGCCACAGAAAGCAAAGTATTACAAATGGATGCCAATTAGAAAGGTCAGACTGAGAGGTTAGGATACATGATTCCTCTGTCAAAAGCAAGTAACAAATTTCCAGAAATTTGACCCAAATGTCTAAGGCTGGCTGGCTGAAATAATGCAGATAATGCAAAAACAGCATCTGTTATTCTTTCTCATCTTGGCAGGCTAAAGTTATTTCACGGAATAATGACTTTTAAACAGTACAAAGCAAGTCTTGCTCTTGTCACTCACGGAAGCTCTTTGATATAAAAGTCATTCTGATGACTTTGAGCTGAGCTGTAGATAAAAAACTAAGCCCTATGATTATGCGGATTCTTTTAAAACCAACCGTCTAAGCCCACTTTCTCTTATCAGAGCTTTTATTAGCACTTTTTTTTCTAGTTGGAAGCCTAATTAAATTATAAAGTGATTCATTTTTAAGGAAGTTGAATTTAGAAATAGTATTAATCCTAGCAATTATCAGTTTCAAGCCCAGATGTTTCCTTTTCCGTTATCAGTTTCTACTTAAACATGTTGAAAAATCCTTAGTGTAACTTTAAATATGCTTACAGTATTTGATTTAATTGTTTTACAAAATTGTATCATCACTAAAAAGGCTAAAAACCTTTATTTTTTTTAGGATTAAATGTGTAATGTGTGATTTGTTTCAAATTAATAATTGTGCAAGGCACATAACGAGCACCTTTATAATCATTTTGGGGGACACACAGACACGCGCACCCCCAGAGTAAGTCCTCACTTAATGTTGTCCATAAGTTCTTGGAAACTGCAACTTCTCACAAAACTATGGATAAAGGACCCAGTTTTACCCTAGGCTACTTTATATAAACACGAGTTAATTAGTGTGGCACATCTGAGCACGAAACATCACCAGGCTTCTAAGTGAGGACCCAAAGCACTCGTAATATTAAACATGGGAAGAAATGGGAGATGTGCAGACACTGAAGGAAGTTTCATGAGAACCAGAGAGAACCTTCCCGAAGGCTCCTGTCCAGGTCAGGGGCGCGGCCCGGGCCTCTCCCAGCAGCTCGGGGCGCCCGGCAGGAGCCCCCTGGGGGGTGCCCTTCCCTGGAGGGTGCTCCCCACACAGCCACACCCCCACTGCCACCACTTGGACGGGCCAGGTCGCCCAAGTGCTCATCTCTGGGATGTGGGGAGACACTGGAGTCCCGGAGAAAACCTGCGGAGACATGAGGGGGGTGTGCAAGCTGCACACAGACAGCGGGCCCCGCTCAAAAGAATTCGCTTTCTTCTTACCAGTGTTATCATAAAAAGATGTTGAAGGGCACAATGTATATCATGTAGATCTTAAACTTACACATGTCATGTGCCAATTATGTCCCAATAAAACTGGAAACATTGAAAAAATTAATAAAGGTCACTTTTAGAGTTTTACCTACAAAATAAATGTGTACTAAAACATGTCAAGTATACATGTAATTATGGGGAAAGTAAATCCATACTCTACTGAGAAGTATTCACGGATAATTGTAGATTCTCAACTTGGTTTTCTTAGTAAATATTAAATATTAGTTACTAGGCAGAGATAATGTACTTGCATAATTCTTTAAAAGCTCTTTCACTAGCTTTATCTCATTACATAATTAGGTGAGTCTCAGAGATGTTAAATATATATATATTTTAAATATATCTTTATTGATTTCAGAGAGAGGAAAGGAGAGGGAGAGAGAGAGACAGAAACATCAATCATGAGAGAGTCATTGATCAAGCCCACAACCCGGGCACGTGCCCTGACCGGGAATCGAACCCCATTGCCTGGATCCCAGGTCGACGCTCAACCACTGAGCCACGCCCGGCCGGGCAATGTTAAATATTTTTCTAAGTTAACACAGTTAAGTGATTGAACCAGACCTATAGCGTTTTCAAATTCTCTTTCCCTTTACAGGCTACAAATGCTTGGTAGGTAAAAGTTAGTTTCAAAGAAGATATTATATTTTGTTTGGAACTAATTACATTGTTTTTAACTGTTATTTTATAGGAATTAATAATTTCATGATTTAATAATACTTTTTATATTACATTTTAAAGAACAAATACTGTGGTTCATCTTTAGAATATTTTACTTACCACCGCCATACCTCCTGTCTCTCCCTCTCTCATTCCAACCCCTTTTTGAAATCCTTTTACCCCATCTACTTCTGTATTTCCAATGCTTGCTTTTAAAACCTGAAAGGAGGGGATGTGTCCGCCACCGAACTTACCACCGAGTTTGACAAATGTTGGCTAATCAATGTGATGATGACTTTCATAGGGAATCCCTGTCCAGATGAACTTTCAAAACAGAAAAGAGTTCTTTTTTGTTCACAGAAAATCTTCATTTAGAAAATGTGTCATGATCAACAGACACAAGGATGGTAAATAGAAATTTCAGCCTAGATGGGTTAGACTTGGGCAACATTTCCTCAGATTTCTTTTGTGCGCTAAGCTTGTTAATTTCGTAAGTTGTCTTTGAACTTCAACCGCCTTAGCGCGCACTGCTCCCGGCACTCATTCGATGAACAAATGCCTGTTAATCTGCAGGCAGCTCTCCTTAGAACCCCTGCTAGTGTGCTCTAAATATCCAGTGCAACCAAACCCTGCCATGCAGGTTTTTTCAGCCTTCTTTGCAAGGATGAAGCTGTATGGTCTTCTCAAAATGCGTTGGGAATCAGAGAGAGTAGGAGTAGAAAACTGCTTCCCGAAGGGTCCTGAGGGTCAGTCAGAGCCTTTGCTGTGACCTCTCCCAGCTCATCAGCTCCAGGCTGGGATCCCTTGGAGAAATGAGCACCATTCTCTTTCTGCCTCTGTCTCTCTGCCTGTCTGTTCCTGCTCCCTCTTGACACTGTTCCTGCTCTCTCCTCAGGTTTGTTGTGTTTATCGAAAGTCCCATAAGACAGCCTTTGCGCATTTATCTGAGGTGGGTCCGATGCAAAGGGCCTTGAGTGTGGTGGTTAAGGGCACAACGGGAGTGTGTCATTCTACTTAAATTGTATCATTACACTTAGTTTTTCTACTCCTTGGTTTTATCAACTCTAAAAGTAGGAAAATTCAAGTCATAATCAATTGTGATGGTTGAGCATTTTAAATGAGATAATACATATAGAACACTTGGCGTGGTCCCTGGAAACTATGTCAGCATTTCATGTTAAAAACGGATCTTGAAGTTGCTCTCAGGCAGCTGTCTGATGCCCTCAAGCTCTTTTCTTGGAAGACTTTCTGATTTGGGAGTC